CGGGTGCCGTGGCGATAGGGTTGACGAGCGTGTGGACGGCGATTTTATGCCCCGTGGTCGCTACGTTTTGAAGCGGTTGAGACACGGGGGTAGGCAGAATGACAGTATTCCGTCTCGTGTACGCAGACGTCGTGTCCACATTGCGATCGACACGGGGGCACGTGACATGCGGCAGGACCCGGTTGCCGTGTCAGAGGACGAGATGGGAGATCCTTCCAACGAGACGCAGTGCGACCCGGTTCATGCAGAGGAGCTAGCCTCGAACACTGATGTGATAGCGACGGAGGAGGATACAGGGTTCAGGATCACTCATCCCCGGTCGCCAGCGCCGGTTGTTGGCATAGAGGAGGAGACGGAGTTCGGAGGACCCGGTCCACTCCGCCAGGCGCAGACTCGGTGCACTCCAGCAGGCACCCCAGTCCACTCCACAGGAGCGGGTTTGGAGGACGGCGAGGCACTACGTGAGCCGCCGCCTCACACGAGTGACGGCGGTCTAGAGGAGGGAGAGGTTGCACCCACTCCCACTTGTGGAAAGGACGGTAAGGACGAACGTCCTCCGACGGACCACCACGTCGACCTCTACTGCCAGCCCGACAGTCTTCCGCCCACCGGCGAGCTATTCACCATGGATTCCGCCTTGGCATGTCTGCCCGATATATCTCTACTGATATCTCCCACTTTGCCGGTTGTGGCACCACCGGAGCCTGCGAGACGAGATGACGCGCGTCGTGACAGAGGGTTTAACGAGTTCGGCGGCGACACGATACTGCGTCCTCCAGAGTCTGGCACTCCCGCCATTTTTCATGTCGGTGCACCGTGGGCGGTGGAGCAGGGGTTGGCGGAGGAGGTAGCACGGAACCATCGTGGTGGACCGCACGTCACAGCTCAACGTAGTCTGGAAGGTTCACTAGAGGCAGCGTCTGGAGATTTTTTGGGGCAGGGGGGTCATGGTTCGCAGCTGTTATCGGACGACGTGTCATCAGTCCATCCACCAGAGGAGGGCCCGCAGCAAGAGCCACATCGAGGGCCAACGGAGACTTTAGAGGCGAGGCCTCCCGGAGTTATCCGCTCGGACGGAGGTGAGGGCGTGAGTGAGGATACACCGCAGCCAGGGAGCGCAGATGGTGGACGGTCCTTCAGGGGGGGCATCGAGCGCAGAGGGTCATCGACCACACACCCCAGCATTGTCAGGCCCAGCACACATGACGTTGGAGACGGGCACACAGATGAGCCTCGACCGCATTTGACGGGGATGCGTGACATTATGTGTCCACCACCCTCACGCCCCTCTGCCGCTGATCCTGTCGCCCACGGGTAGGCCGCGCCGAGCGCATTGCCTACGAGGTCTTTCTACGACGGTGCGGGCATCAACCGGAGGGCGGGCGATATCGGACAGACATCAGCATGTGGACCGGCAGATGTGCTCGCGGGGGCGCGATCGATTGGCAACGTCGATGGCACTTGTCATGATTTCATGAGAGCTTACGAGGAGCAGCATGGAAGGCCTATACGGGCCAAGACGAGCGATGTTAACGATATCAGGACGGCAACTGCGAGGCTATCACGGGCGAGGAAGAAGGGAACAGTTGTGTCGATTCCGTATCACCGGCGCCGCCTGCATCCTTATTTCTGCAACAGGGACGAGACCAGACAGATGTCAGCTGCCGAAGATGGACAGGGGGGGGCGGAGGGAGGTGACAGAGTGGACGAAGCAGGTCGAGGTGAGAAGAGACGAGGCGGCACGATCATCCTTCACGACGACAGTTCCACAGCCGCTGAGGGCGGTGAGACCACAGGCGCCGACGATCCTGATGACTCCGATTACGTCCCGAGGATCCGTACGGCGGACGGCGATGACGTCGGATAACAGAAAAAATGTGGAAAAAATCCATCAAGTTTCCAACTCGGTGCCCATGGTGGACCAGCGTTGGAACGACGATGAATGCCTTGCCCAACCGTTGGACCATCACCATTGTGTGTTTCCAACAGTTTGATCAACACGTGGCCAACGTTGGTCCAACAACTGTTCAACGTTGATCCAACGTCTTTCCAACACGTCTGTGTTGATATTAAAGTGTTGTCAGGTTGCCATGACAGAAGTTGACTACTGCGGGTCAATTTAGGCACAATCACATTGAATCCACCTGATTTGGCCCGCGGTAGTCAACTATGGACTTGGACGAGGTACGCGGGTTGCCAATTGCGCACGGAAAGCGAACATATCAAAAAAATGGAGCGCACGAAACAGTGTCGCACCCCTGACGAAAGGAAGATGAAGCCGGTCCTGGTTGAAGGACCGCGGAGCTCTCTCTGCGGATGGTTCCGAATCCTGTTGCACGCGGCG